ATTTTTTTTTGTAATAAATAAAGTGTGGAAAATTTTGAAGGAGACAAAGTATACAATTAATTGATTTTATCAATTCGTAGTTATACTTTTTATTATATTCAGATTTATGCGAAAAAAGATCTATGTTAAACGTGAAAGAAATTGTAATAAAGTACGTGCGTGTATTTTAATAAAAGGACAAATGAAAATACATCGGTACTTTTCGAAGTTTATTGGGTTATGCAAGAAAGAAAAAACGAAATTCATTTGTGAAAAATGCACGGCATTGCACGTGAAAACGATAATATTTTTTTTTTTTTTTTTAAAAAAAAAGAAAAAAAAAATACGATTCTATAAAAAAAGTTGTTGTTTGATCGATTTCTCTAAAATTCTATTCTAAACAACAATGAATTAAATTAGTATGATGTCACGAGATAAATAAATGTGCAGCGCATGAGGCAGTTACTTACAAACTTGAAAAATTAGTTTTATCAGGTAAAGGAAAAAATTCATGAACGCGTTAAAAAATAAAACACCCGTAGAATCATTGAATTTCGAAAGTGCTCGTCTATGTATAAAAATTCCAAGGGCACAATTCTTGATTTTTTTTTTTTTCTTTCGGTCAAGAAAAAATTTGTCAACACATTTTTTTTTTTTTTTTAAATATCAAACTTAAAAAAAAAAACCGTGTTAAAAAGGTGAGCACTTTGCGTTAAAGAACCTCTATAATTATTGTATCAAAGAGTTCGTGAATGTTTATAATTTCATTTTCGGAAAAAAAGTAAAATGAGGATTTTAATCCTGAGAAATTTTTACATGGAGGCCATTCTCACAAATATTTATATTCAATTCTGAAACTTTTTTTTTTTTTTACTTGTGGGAAAATTCCTTCCAAGAGTTGTTTTTCCTGTAATACGATTTGGATCACAAGATGAAGCGAATATAATTTAAGACAAGTACGTTAAAATTACGATTCCATATCTGTTGGTTGGATAATGTTTGCAAAGAAAACCAATTGTTAGATGTGATTAAAGTTTATGTGGGGAACTGCAACTTAGCAAGTGTGCATTTCTCAACCCCACAAACATTAACCCCACATCAAAAAAAAAAAACTCCCCCGTCAAAAATTTGTGCACCTTACTGGAAAGGGAAGAAGGCTTTGACCATCTATTTACAAAAGATTTCAAATACGTCATTAGAACTTCTTGTTCCAGCTAAAGTCAATCTATGATATGGCGTTCATGGAGATTGGAGATTCATCTTGTATGATAGTTTTCTTGCGAGATGCGGATTCGTCATAAACATTACATACATTCAATTTCTTGATTTGATTCAAGAAAAAAAAAAAAAAAAAACTCCTCTTAAAATTTTCTGATAAAGTTTAGGCGTAATTTATTATTTGCATTAAAATTAGTTAATGTATTTATAACGAATAATTATTACTACTATTTGTCCGGAATAAACTTTCGAATGCCGAATAATGAATGAAATTTCACACATTGTTCTTCTCCCTTCAACAGCCAATAAAAGCAGATCTTGTAAATTATTTTGATTTTGACCAAAAACTTTCCATCAATATTTTTAAAAATCAACTTACTAGTGATTGCCTATTTTGGTCAATAAATTATTTTGACAGATCCATTTGTTTATTAAGTTTCCTTCCTTCAATAAATTGTGATCGGTATTACAATTTACGATCTTCCGTCGACCCGAACTAACCGTTTCTTATTTTCTTGCGACGTGTATTCTCAACGACGAATCAAATTTTTTTTATCGAAACCTGCACATTTATTTATTTCACGACAGCTCGGCTTTTGATCATTTGACATCAATTATAAATTTGTGATAAATTTGAGGTGACTTATCACATATATTTAAGGGTGAATGGATGATTTCGACTAACTTCTTTAGTGTATATTAAAAGAATTCCTTCGAAGAACGATGTGGCATTAGATTTTTTTTTCTACTTCAATTGTTTCACAATGTGCAATTATCATCTCATTACATCAACATGATTATTTGAATGCCTTTTTTTAATTTTTCAAATAAAAAAAAAAAAAAGAATGTAAAAGCACGTTTATTAGATTCTAAGGAATCTGAAACCCATGACACTCAATGATATCGGATTTGGCTGTCAACAAAACACGGGCCAGTCCTCCTGCAATATACACCACAACCTGCATGATTTCTAGATAAACAAACAAATATATTATTAAAATTAAAAGGTTTTGTTTATTTTTTTGTAAAATCACATATCATTTATCATCAAGTTATGAAAAATTGCTTATAAATTGATGATGTTTTGCTCGCTTTTTTGCTCTTTAGATTCTTTATAGAATCTCAAAATTCAAAGAAAAAAATAATTTATTATGATTATTCATTTCGCAAAATAATCGAATTTCAAATGTCACCGGTTTCATAACCTCGAGTAACATCGTTAAAAAATGATTTCCTCTGGAAGGAATTCAAATCGTTTCTTTCGCCATTAAATTTCGAAAAAAAAAAAAATCATTCGCGTTCTTTATTTCTGATACTCGTTATTCCGTGAAATATTTATTTTTATTCGTATTTTTTATATTAGTTATTTTTACCATTCAGCCATTCTTATCGGTATTGTTCAAATTAATGATCGGTTTCTAATGTTCTTACGTGTTCAGTTCTTCTTTTCTTAAATCTTATAAAAATGATAATTTTTTTCCAGAATTTATTTATTCTTTGAATTTGTTTATTTTTGGTAAACATTCTTTTTTTTTTTTTTTATTTCTTTTTACTTTATTTTTTATTTATAGAAACAAAGTGTGCTTCTTTTTATATCATCATTTTTCTTATTTTTTTTCTATTTCTTTTTTTCTATTTCTTTTTTTTTTTATTTCTTTTTTATAAAATACTCTGCTACAATAAAAATGAATTTAACCATTCGATAATGGATTATTATGTAATTTTTTTTTTCTTCATTTTAAAGTAAATAAAATAAAAAAAATTATTTTGTGTTAAATCTACGTGATTGTTCACATCTTTACGAGAAACGGTTTAATTGATAAACACAATCATTGTTTTGCTGATAAACTTTTGATAAGAAACATTATTTTACTCTTTTGGAAACATCAAACTTTAATTATGAACAATAGTATGTTGACATGTCACAAAGATTTTGCGAAACTTTAATTTTCAAACGTCTCTATTAATCAAGTTATCAGGAAAAAAAAAAAAAAAAAAAAAAAGTTCTCGACTTGATTATCTTTCTTATCTTTTTGGATATTTAAACGAGAAAATTTTCTTCCTCTTTTTTTTTTTTTTTTTTCCCGCATAGAATTCGAAATCATGTAACCTTTTTTTTTTTCCTAATGATGAATACTCAATAACGTGTATTTAGGATCGTAATGCCTCATAATGCTTTTTAAATTCATTTTATAACAACCTCACTTTAAAAAAAAATAGAAGAAAAGAAAAAAAAAATGTTAAAAGAAAACAAAACCAAAAAAAAAAAATAAAAATAAAAAAATAAAAAAAAAATTCCAAATTATCACAATATCCCTCTTACCAATTAACTTTCTACACTTTCTACAAAATTTCCGAATACATCTTTTCAACAATCACCGCCAAAACAAAAGTTCGTTGACGACAAAACGCGCTTCTCCGACCTACCAAAGTTCTTGACTAATTTTAACCATCGTATTTTGTCCCTTTCGAAAAATCTCTTGCTTAAATTCCAACCGAATTCGTATTTTTTTTCTGTATTAATTGTATTAATACATTTTTTCATTCATATCGAGCATTGACTTATCTTGCTTCAATATATAATTACTTTATAAATTATTAGTTATTTGAAATTTCTAAATACATTTTGTTATTCCTTTTAAATTGATTTGTTTTTTCACTTTTTATCGATCGTTTTCCTCTTTTTTTATCGTATTTATTATAACTTTTTTTTTCATATCAAATAAAGACTTTTCATTACGTGATTCAACGTGTTTTTATTTTATTGAACTAACAGTAACCGACTTTATCGTTTATTTTTTTTCGCGATGGTTAAAGTCCATCGACGTGATAGTTAAGACACGTGATATTTGCGAAATCGCGATCAGGGTGTTGTAATGCCCACTTTGCATTCTTTGAATAAAAGAACCTCAATAACACGTTTCGTAAATATTATTTTTTTTTCATGCATGAAAAAAAAAAATTAAAGAAATTTGAATCATATTCTTTTACAGTTCGTTTTTATTTTATTTTTGAATTCCCTTATTCTGAGGAAAATTGTCACCGTTCATGTTATCAGAATTTGTCTATACAATATAAATAAAATTTTAATCTTTATGACAGTACAAAGTATTATTTAGTTACACCAAAGGATTTCTTTAAGTTAATTTCTTCACGGAGTTGTTCACTTTTCTCCATTTGATTAGATAAAAGACATAATTCAGTGGTGAAACCGTTTGATTTACATAATAAAAAAAAAAAAAACGCGTCTTATATATAGAATCATGCAATATTGTCATAATAATTATGACAAAAATGAATGGGCTGAAATGCTCGTACATTCAAAAATCCATTTGCAAAGTTTCCCGGGAGTTAGAGTCAAGACAACCCTTTTTTTCTTTTTTTAAGTAAAATGCACTTAAATTTCTAATCGGTAACATTTAAGCATATTATCAATACCGATATGAAACTGTTGTATTTCCAAATCGGGTAAGATCTTGGGAATTTTTTTCGTTCATTGCACCTTACATAAACTTTAATTTGGCCAAATTTAAAAAATATCCATTTATCCATACAAAGATCCAATATTACACAATCACAATTGGTCTGATAATGATTTGTTCTTTGTAATTCATGTTTACGAGCATCACGTGTCATGGATAGTGGTTCGACCATTCTATTGTAATTTATACGCAACTTTACATATTATAAATCTTTTTTTTGATACAAGTGACGCAATATATTTTATAAAATAAAAACACCAAATTGAATTGTCAGTAAAAACATTAATCTTTTTGCAAAGGATTTCTCACAAATACATAAAGATGCTGAAAAATCCTTTGATAAGATCGTCACTTATCATACACAAACCCCATTTCATTCAACCATTGATCGTACAACCTTGCCGTAAATCGTCGCCATTTTCAATTCGTCCAGCTCATTCTCGTACGTTTTCAATTTTTAATTTACTTAGGACAATAGTTGGCCCACTATCTTTTGTCTCTCGTTCCCTTTCACAACCACAAAAGGCAACGCAAGAATTGGAATCTCAAGCATTAGCCACTTATGAAAAAATCAAATTACCAATAACTCATACATTTAATAGAATTCCTGGATTTTTGGGTAGAGAGCATGAGATACGTATATTGAATGATTTATTAAGTGGAGATCCAAAGTTTTTGATCGTGAATGGTTCTACAAGGTTGGTGAACGCGGAAAAAAAAAACATTACTTTGAATATTTAATCAATTTTTGGGATCAAATTTTTTTTTTTTTTGTTCATATTTACTGTAAGTGTGGGAAAAACCTCTCTGCTACGAGAGGTCCTATCCGACGATCGATATCATGTGACTTACATCGATTTGCGAATCCCAGGTCTCGTAATTTTTTCTTTTTTTTTAAAAAAATAACATGTGAATGCCTTCTTGACTTATCATTTAAATACATACAGGATTCGCGGATCTTATTTCATTTATATCGGAATTCGCGTCGCGTTTAGAAATATTTTTTACGAGAATTGCTTCATTTTACCCTAATCTTAAGGTATTTGAAGATGAAGCAATCGCCCTTAGAAGTTTACGATTGAGTGGACCTGAAAGTTATGAAAAGAAACAACTATTACAAAATGTGCAACAATCAGAAGGTGATGATGAGACGGATGCTTATTCTGTCGCAACAAGTCAGAATCGAAGTGATCTCGCCAAATTATTGGAGAAATTTCAAGCTGGGTTATTGATGTATCATGGAGTTGATCTCAATGAAAAGGGGGAAGAAAAGAAAGAGGATGATGAAAAAGACAGATACCGGATACACGAACATGATAAGGGTAGTTAATTATTCCAACCTTCAAAATAATATTTATACTTACAACTTATTCTTATGTTTTTTTTATAGACACGAGAAAAAAGAAAATTCCTATTATAGTTTTCGATGAAGCTCATAAATTGAGATATCTTTTGAATGATAACGAAGCTCTACAGATACTTCTGGATGCCTTGGTAGTCTTCACAGTACAAGATAGCTTGTGCCACATCATTCACGTTACTTCGGATGCATTTTACGGAAGATTATTGGCACAAAGTACGTGAAGTAAAAAAAAAAAGATTATTTTTTTTTCCCATAGCTTTATTCTAACAAATTCCCTTCTTACTTTTAAAAAATAAAAAATAAAAAGTGAATATTCGTAAGTATTAATTATCATGACGAATCAAAATATTTTTTTTTTTGCTAGCTTAACAAGTTTTCATATTTGATTATTTAGAGCTTCATACGAAATCTTTAATCATTGGTGATTTATCCCGATCAGAAGTCAACAAGTATTTTCACAAGACTCTAGTACCGACCGTCCCACAAGAAATACGCGAAGGGATTTTCAAAATGGAAGATGATCTTCACAAAGTTCTTGGTGGAAGAATTTTATACTGGAAATCATTTGTACAAGATTACATTCTTTCGAATGGCAGGTTAACAAGTTAAGATTCACTCAAGGTTTCTTAATCATCTTTGGTTATATAAATAAAAAAAAAAAGTGATTAATTATTCTTTTACAAAAAAGTTGAAACATTTGAACCATTCATTCGGGCGCAGCATCAACTTATTTTACTTTCAAAAGATTTACCGATGGATGATGAAATTCCCGGTGATCCGATCAAACGCATAAGTCGTTATATTATTGCCAGTCCAATGAATAAGGTTTCCTATCATCGTTTGTGTAAGGAATTCACGCCACCTGTTATAGATGCGTTAATTAACGATGGAATTTTGGAGTATAGATTGATTGATGAAATTGATGATGGGAATGATGATGCATTATCGATCGAAAAACCTTTTGTTGTTCCTTCAAGTCATCTAATGAAACATGCTATGGAAATTTTATTAGGAGAGAAATCACGGATCGAAAAAGATGTTTAAAAATTATTTACGTACAAGCTTTATTGTAAAATTATCTTTACATAAATTTTTTTTTTTTTTTTTAAAAAACGACTGAATGTTACCCTTGTTTATACATATTTGAAATGCGTCATGAATATTATATGTCTTGAAAAAAAATATAGAGAGAATTAAAATCCTAAACATTTTAAACATAATTAATTAGTATTCGTTTTAACAACGTTTTCCAGCAATTAAATAAAAATGACAAAAAAGTTCTGAAACTAAAATTTTATCTAACAAGCAAGCTAAGGCTTAACACCATTAAGCTAAACCAAAGAGAAAATTTCATCAAATTCCTGTTTATTTCGTCGTTCATCGGTTTATTTCCACATCTCTTTACGAACCAATCAAATCTTCTCCCGATACATTTCCATTCTTTTCGTTCAATCATTCCTTCCAAACGACCACATTGACTAATCAGACGGATGATTGATGATTCAGCTGCGGCTATCATAAAACGATAACCACGAACCGTAGGTACCCCGCAAGGATTTGTAAACGTCAAATAGATGTCAATGATCATTATGGACACGATGACAAGTGGTATAGATAAGAATGTCCAAATTACAAAGATATTAATGATTGCTGTGTCATTAAATACAGCGACAATTAATGAAATTATTATCGTGATCAAAAAGATTAATATTGTCCCCAACAATAGCTCTGCACTGTTAGGTAAAATATCGTTATAACTTAATTCCGGATACATTTTAACTAAGGCACCATCGCCTTTCGCCCACATAAAAAATCTTTTATAGACCCTCTTCCCATCATTCCACCAAGGATGCGTCACTTTAACGTTTGGCGCTGCTATAAATCCTATCCCATTCTCTACATTATTAATAAAAAAATTCCTCTTTTTCAAACAGAAATCGATATCCTCTCCTCCACCGGTCGGGGGAAAAATTGGATCAAAGAGTACGTTATCTTTAAATCGTTTAATTAGTAAATTTGCGGTTACGCCCCAAGGGATGTCATCTTTAAATTTTTCCGCAATATCCCAAAAATACGTGATACAGGACAAAACCAACGCACTTACAAAAATGTTATCATTCGCTGGAGGGAATTTCGTATTTCCTACGAAGCCGCAAGCGTTTGGATACATTTTGATTATTTTTTCACATTCAAATAGTATGTTCTTTTCCGGAATCACGTCATCATCCAATAACAATACATAGTCCGCGTTGGATTCTTTTAGCCCTCGATTTCTTGATAAACTCGCACCCAAATTGGTTTTGTGCTCTCGAATTCTGATAAAAGGATCTTTCTCATATAATTTTTTTAAAATGGTTGTGTTTGGTGTATTTGGATTATCAATTATAATCACAATGCTTGTTGACATCGTTGGGGGTCTCTCCACGTTAATGATTGGATCAAGAAATTTCAATTCAACCCTATAACTTGGTATTACTATATCAAGTGTTAACAACTTTGGTACCGGAACCTTGCAATTCGATTTCAACCACTTTTCAACTGTATCAACTGATTTATCCAAGATATCAAAACTCCACTCCGGATGATGCTTTCTTTCATATCTCGGGGCTTGACTTCCGCCCACGAAATTTTGAATTTTAACATCATGTAACATAACCGAACATCCCCATCTTCGATATGTCTGAAACAAGTACGGGTCTCCATCTTGATTTTGAAATTTTTCCCTCGGAAACATGTCACCATTAAAGATGTCCAAATGTACTCGACCCATCACCGGAAACGTTGGAAACCCGGGAAAACTGGTATCGTCAAAGGTTACACATCCGAAACCGCATGGAACCTTTTTTTGAGTAGAAATTTCGCGATAAGCTTTATGAAATTTACTCATCCAGCCATCGGTTTCGATGATCACGTCATCGCCAAATAAAACAAAATAATCGCATTTGTCGTGATACGCTTGACGAGCCAATTCCCTCCAGATTGCGCATATAGAACCCGGAGGAAAATCAAATGACTTTGTATGTATATCCGTGAATCCATGTTCGCGAAGGATTCCTTCCGCAGGATTATTTTGGATCGGATGAAAGAGGCAATCATTCTTATCTATTCCGATGTAAATTTTAATATGGTAAATTGTTTTACAAATTCTTTCCGTAACATCTCGTTGCGAAGTCTTGTGAAGACTTTTTGCAAAGTTTGATAAATTCTCTAAACAATCTACAGGGTTAATTAATCCTCGAGAAGTTATCGGTACAAGCACTCCAAACGTTATGGTTTCGTCTTGAAAAGTTAATACGTTCACTTGACTTTTTAATGATGACTTGATTAAATCATTCCATCCGATTGGATCATTCTCATATTGCAATTTCATTTTCTCAATTTCTTGTCGAATCCACAAGGAGGTCTTTTTCATACCTTCACGGATCGAATGTCTTGGTGACCAATTTAGGTACTTCTGAATTAAGGTGTTATCCGAATTCCTACTATTTACACCAACGGGTTTTTCGGTGTCAAGCCTCAACCTCACGGTATCACATGCCACGCCAATGGTTTCAAACGCGACATAAGCAAGTTCTTCTATGCTAATTGATTCTTCCGAACCAATATTTAGTGTGATTTCTAAATCACTTTCCATGAGTTTAATAACCGCTTCGACGCAATCATCTATATACAAGAAACTTCGTCTTTGTTTTCCGTTACCCCAAATTTCAATCTCATTTCCTCGTGCATAAATACTCGAGAAAATCGCTTTTCTTAATAAGGCGGCCGGAGCTTTTTCCCTGCCGCCATACCATGCACCACCTTCTCCGTAAATGTTGTGAAACCTTGCAATTTTGAATTGAGGAAATTTTTTATTTTCCATTGGATCTACTAAACTGGATATAAGTATTTCGGTGTTTAATTTTTCGGCACCATAAAGTTCTTGAGCTTTTGAATCTTTGGAAATGCAATTCCATGTATCGCTTTCCTTTAATTTTATCTCATTAATATCAGATTGTATATTATTGGCGTAAACGCAAGCGGTGGAAGCATAAAAGAACTTTTCAATATCTGACTCCATCGAAACTTTGAGTATATTCAAGGACATCAAATGATTTTCTTGATATATTACGAAATTATTTTTGGAGTGAATAACGCCCATACCTCCCATATTCGCAGCAAAATGAAATACCCATTTTACATCGTTCTTAACAAATAATTTACGGCAAGTTATAAGTGAACGGATGTCACCTTCGATGAATTCTGAACAGAATTCAGCCGTATCTTTGAAAAGACGAAAGGTTGGGTCGTCATGCAAATCGACTACGCGAACGTAGTTTCCTTTGTCGTGTAAATATTTTGCAACATGACTTCCCTAAAGATGGCATTTATATAATTATTTATTATTTAATTGAATTTTTTTTTAAAAAAAAAAAAGAAGGGTACATACAATGAAGCCATTGCCTCCCGTAATTAAAATAACATTTCTTCTTATAGTCATGTTTATTTTACTTTTCAATGAGTTTTTCTTCTCGAATCAGCAGCCTTTTTATTTCTTTTGATTTTTATCAACGCGTTACATATTGATGACGATTTTTTATTTCACAAGGTGAAATTTTATAAATATGACCACATTATCTCACGATAAGAACGATTATATAACGGTGATTAAACTTATGTAACTTTCGATCTCAATCATCCCCCTAAGGTGAATTTAATAATTCAATTTATAATACAATTTCAATCACGCGTCGTCACTCTCGTCACTCACTAGTCATTAATGATCATGATTTTCAGCCTCCGTCTTTGTTTCCACATTTAGGCAGTTCCCACGCACCTAAAAAATAATAGAACCTGGAACTTCACAGAATTTCGCTGATTGGTTAAACTTTACCATTGAATAAGGGTACTTCCTTCTTTCCATTTTACACCATGGGTTTTCAGCAAGACTATCGTCAGCTAGTTATTATATACCGGTAATACAAATTCTTATAACAGAATGTTCAAATGCAAAGAATATTCAATATTTATAACCTTTAAACCTTTGATTATCCAAATTATTTTTTTCTCTTCATCAAATGCAAGAATACAACATCGGCCAAGACCTAAACTTGGACAGATGTTTTCCCATTTTTTAGTAGATGGAGATGGTCATAACTCAAACTCACTTGCCACTTTTCGCGCTATCGTGGATTGATTTGCTATCCAGCTTTTATTTTAGATTCCTCTAATGCAATATGGAAACAAACTGCCATTGCATTATGCCAACTAGCAAATGGAGCATACGAGTATTAGAGCAAACACATGGGCTGAGTCAAGGGTCTTTAGTCAATTTTATTGTAACCATCTTAATTTACAAGTTATACGATAAAAACATTTTAATTGATAAAAATTACCTGATTTATAATCAGTAAAAAAAAAATTTTTTTTTGTGATGGAAAAGCGTGAAAATTTTTATGAAATTAATTTTGTAAGAGCGTCTCCGGAAAAACTGACCCTGAATTTTTCACGTGACACATGTCACTTTCATTTTTTTTGTTTTGATAATCATGCAGAGCGCAATATATATATATATATATATTTTAATGCTAAAAGAACTAAAAGATTAAGTAATATCCTTTTTTTTTTTTTTTGATTTGTTAAAAGATCAAAAAAAAATTTTAAATTCTTAAGGTTGCCGGGAAAAACCCGGAGGTTTCGACAGGCATCGAAATCAAATTCGTCGAAACCCGTCGAAACCGAAAGGTTTCAACTTTTCCAAAATGGGATACGGTTTTGCCCCGCAACCTTAAATGTTTAGCGATTTGCTTTTTGTCCAAGTGGGTGTCTCGAGATTATAACAAATTGGTTTACAGATTAAATAATTCATGGTTATTCCAAAATTACCGTTAACATTCCTTCTGCTATCAATATATCTTTCTTAATGATCATTATAAATCGATTGATAATTTCGCTTAATTTCGCTTAATTTCGGCTCTGACCACAAAACTGGTCAAAAGTTTTACGGATAATCGTAACTCCAGCCAAAATTAAGAATTTACATTTAATCAATGATCCTGTAATATAGACAATTATGTCATCAAGTAGTTCAGTTATTTCGTTTTCTATTACGATTCCTTAATACCGCGCATAGAAATTATGTGAAACATCTTCACTAGACTAAATTTGTGCTTTACTACTGTTCCATATTTTTTATTAGCGGCCATTATCATATAATATTTACCTAATCCTTCATTACCTTGCATCCTAACATTTACTAATTTCCCAAAGAAGAATTCCAAAACTGTAAACATCACATTTGGTATCATAATTTTGTTTCATGTAATTTTCCAATCCCTCTCCTATCATTGTATCATCTCGGGAGATCTATATTTATCTATGGCTAAATTTCTAGAAACTGCCAAAATTTGTTGTAATTATAATATTTTCGGATCTAATACCTCGATGAACGATCTTCAAGATAATTAAAAAGTCGGCTATGCAATTTTTTTTTTTTTTTTTTTTTTAAAGAAACCTAGAATTTTTGTTATTACCTTATCAGAAATAAGGAAATTCAATCCTTTAGCGATATAATAAGCAAATAGTATTCTCAATTTATTTCAATTCCTTGTCCATTCAAAGAAATATACTCACGCAAATTACCATATTCTGCCCATTCGGTTACTAAATAATATAAGTTAGTTCGTAGAATTGAATAATATTTTGACAATCTTTTAGTTTTTAAGAATTGCGACTTGATTTTTAACTGAAAGAAAATTTTCTTTTTCTACAATCTTTAAAGCAAAATCAACTCTAGTTTTTATTGATTTGATTTGCACTTTTTTTTTGTCGTTTATCAAACTATCCATGATAAGTTGCATCTCATTGACTAGTTCTATAACTGAATTCATCTTAATTGTGTCTTTCATACTTTCTAAAATCGACCGTCGAGTTAAAATCTTTTAAGAAATAGATACTTTCATCATATTCTTCACATAGAAATTTAAAACTTTTTTTCTATAAAGGTAGCCCTTAATTATTATACTGTGCTATTTCTTCAATATATCCTTTCATTTTTTGAAGTACTTGAACTAATTTCTGTAAACTAGAATAAATTTTCGAAGTAGATAATCCTCTCTTGTTTCAAACATACTTACTGAGTAATTCAAGTTTCGTTATTATTTTCATTATATTTATTGAGCGATCTGAAATATTTCTAATATCTCTAATAAGTGAAATGATGATCCTAGTTTCATTTTGTCGGGACTTTCCTAAAATCACGTGATTATATACGTATTTAAAAATCATTTCTAAAATACAAGATCAGCAAGCAATACGATCTTTTTTTTTTTTTTTTCTCATTTCAATTTTAATATGGAACGTTGTGATGAATGTAATCAACCACTTGGAGGAAATTGGTGCAATAATTGTGATGCATACAAATTTTTAGAAGAAAGTAAAACTATTGGCTATCATAAGGAACTTCATAAATTAAATAAAAATGAGAAATTCCAATTTAGGCGGTATGGTATATGTCCGAATTGTAAACAATTGAAGGTCGACTATGAATTATGTCATGATTGTGATAAAAGTTATAGGGAATGTAATAAATGCAACCGACCATATATTACTTCCGGAGAGGAATGGTGCAATTATTGCGATACTAAAAGATTTTTGGAAGAAAGTGAAACTCTCGGATACCATAAGAAATTAGATCAATTATCCAAGGAAGAGAAAATTCGGTTTAGATTATATGGAATATGTCACGATTGTGTACAATTAAGAATTGACTCCAGATCATGTATTAACTGTAGACGTAAAAGATGTGAAGAATGCGATACCACCAAAAACGAAACGTGGTGTGATAATTGTGATGGTAAAAGGTTTTTGGAAGAAAGTGAAACTCTCGGATATCAAAAGAAATTAGATCAATTATCCAAGGATGAGAAAATTCAATTTAAGCGATATGGAATATGTACCAATTGTAAACAACTAAAAATTGACCCCAGATCATGTGCTAACTGCATGTACGGCAGTTGTAATGAATGCAAACAACCAAATATTTCCGAAGAGAAGTGGTGTAATGATTGTGATGTTAAAAGTTTTCTAAAAGAAAGTGAAATTGTTGGATATGGTAAGGAACACAATGATTTATCTAGAGCAGAGAAATTTCTATTTAGACAATATGGGATATGTCATGAATGTAAGCAACTAAATACTGACTATGGATCATGTATTGACTGTAATAAAAGTTATAGTAAATGTCCAGAATGTAAACGACCGTATTTTTCTGAGGAATGGTGTAATTTTTGTGACAATAAAAGATTCTTGGAAGAAAGTAAAATCATTGGGTGTTATAAGAATTTAAATGACTTGACTAAGGATGAGAAAGTTCATTTTAAAGAATATGGAATATGTCCCGATTGTAAGGAAATGAATACCGGAGGAGCGTGGTGTAACAAATGTGATCCTGGACGATTTTTAAGTGAAGGAAAAACTAGTGGAAATCAAGAGATCGATCAAATAATCTACGATGCACAAAAGAAAACAGAGCATTATTATAATAGTTTTGAGTGGATTCCTTTGGATAAACTTGAATCTATTCAACCTATCGGACGAGGAGGTTTCGCAACGATTTATTCTGCCAATTGGATAGAAGGAAAACCTTATGGTTTTAGAGAGAAGAAAAGGTCCCCTCCTATTAAGGTTGCACTTAAAGAAATAAACCTTGATTCCAAGATGACGAGTGTTGCTCTCACCAATGAGGTATACCATTTTGAAAATATTTGTACCATGTCATATTTTTTAAGTCATGATTTATTAAACGTTTACGATTTTATTGTTAGATAAATATACATAATCTCTGTCAAAATTCTCCTCTTGGTACTATCATAAGATTTTATGGAATTTCAAAGAATTCAAATACAGGAAACTTTATCATGGTATTAGAATTTGCTGAAAATGGAAGTTTGAGAGAATCTCTTGATAGATCTTTCCAAGGATTAACTTGGAAGAAGAAATTAGAAATGATGAAGACCATCACGGATCATCTTGGGATTCTTCATAATTTAGACCTTATACATCGAGATTTACATCATGGAAACATACTTCAACTTTCAAGTGGTAAATTAAGTATTTGTGATTTAGGACTTTCCCAATCAATATATGAAACTGGTAAATATGGGATATATGGTGTATTACCTTACATGGCACCTGAAATTTTACGAGGACAACGTTATACCAAAGCTTCTGATATTTATGGATTTGGAATCATATCATACGAAATAATTACAGGTTTACCACCTTATCATGACATTGATCATAATTACTTGGCTTTACCTATTTGTGGTGGATTAAGACCCAAATTTAATATTAAAGTACCCCAATCTATTTCAGATTTAATCAACAAATGTTTGGATGCAAATCCATCAGAACGACCAACAGCAAATGAATTATCTAATCAATTGTCTAACCTTATAAATGATGCTTCTAATGAAGGGTCAATGATTCATAAGCAAATTGAGGAAGCAAATAAGATTAATGAACTTTCAACAACGCCATCACCAGTATCGATCACGAGCCTTTCTTATGTAACGCATCCTCGAGCAATTTATACAAGTAGGCTCTTGAATGTTAAAAATTTGCCAGAACCAAAAAATTCATCCGAAATAAATGAAACATTCTATTCTGGAAAGATTAAGTGAAAATTTTTAAATTTTTATTATTAATAATAATCAATTATTTTTAAATTACAATAGAATCTTAGTTGATGATTTACCAAACTTTTTATGAATTAAAAATCCGTTCTATGAATAATTTAATGTAATTTTAATTTGTATTTTTAGTCTATTAAATTTTAATATATTTAACCTAAATATTTTTTAACTTTATTGGAATAGAAAGTTTGTTAAACAATTTAAATTATTGCAACTTACGCATGAATGACGTTTAATGATATTTTCACATTGCTTTCCATAGGTTTATTAATTATTTAAATTGCTCACCTTTTTTTTTTAAAAAAAAAAATAAAAATATAAGAAAAAGACGGATTAAATTATTACTTTCTAAAAAATATTTGCTACTGTCCTTTAAAGAATTATGTAAATATCGTATATCTATTTTGCACCATGGTCAAACAAACGATTTCTAACTAGCGTAAACACCACCATCATTTGTAAACTGGCGGGTCGTCTTTTCCTGGTCAAATGTCTTGAGAGAAATCTCGTGTTTCCGATAAATATTTAAAGCATTTATCTGTAGAAACCTCTCATTGTAACACGCTTTTCTTCGTCAGGAAATAGTTTCTTAAGTTATTCATTATTAGAGTATATTTGAAAAAAAGTAAAAGAATGATAAATTGTAAAGTAAAAAAAAGAGGTAAACTTTTTTTTTTTCCTGATTTTAGCGTAGTTTCATCTCATATTTTACGTTATCGTCCGATTATTCCAACTACCGAATTTTCGGATTTTTCGGATTTTTCAACTGAGCTTTTTTTCTTTTTAATTTAAAATTCTTAACATTATGCTTTGTGTCCTTTATTAGTCAATAATGTGAAAAACTATAAATAAAATTTGGGCGTTCTTGTTATGAAACTGAAAGTATTGTTAAGACTTTGTTCTTTATATACCAACAATAACTATTGTTCATTCGGTCGATCCGGAGAAAATTTTTTACGAGACAGTAATTGCAAAATAAAATCCAGTAAACCGAAAAATCTAATTTTCATCATCTAAAAAATTCATGAAACCGTAAGACCTTGTGATGTTTCAATACAGAAAAGAATTAGAACAAAGCCTACAAAGATGAAAGGAAAAAGAAACAAGGGATTGTAACGTGTTTTTTGTTTCCAAGCTCACGGGTATAAAAATGAATCGATTCCATAGCATGAAATTTCCAAGAAAAAATTATCTGTGATAAAATTTTCTTCACCTCATTATTTATTACCTTTACCTTTATATATATATGTTGAGCATATAATATTATTTATTTATATTTATTTATATTAATTAATCATCTTTAAAAATTTTTTAAAAAAAAAAATTTTTTTGTTTACTTAAGAACTTAAGATTATAAAAAAACCCCTTTCAACAAATTCTTTGATTAATCATGCTGTTTAAAAAAAATTTACAAGTTGAATCCATGTCTTCCGAGAATGCTTTGAAAGTTAAATGTGAAGAATTTTTCTCAACTGACGATGACATTTTACAAGTTAAATGTGAAGATTTTATCACAACAGAAGACACTTTTCAAGTTAATTATGAAGAATTCATGTCAACCGAAGAAATTACGACAACCCAAGATACTTTACAAGTTAAAACAAATGAACCTGTTATCAAACGTAAAAAATCCGGTTTAAAATACATTCCCGCAGTTGACTTGCACATGTATAAATTTAAATCCGCAAAAGACCTCGTCATAAATACAATCAAGAACTCTTATTCCGCCGAAGTATCGAGTATAAGATTCATAACAGGACGAGGAAATCATGTAAATTCAAATGGTGAACGAGGAGTTCTTTTTCAAAGCTTTCCAACCATGATATCATCCGGAGGAGTCAGTCGTTTAATCAAAGGTTATATCAAACATGATGGCTCATTTACGGTCCTACTTAAATCACCCAATGAATTAACGTCACATGATTTAGATACGATTAAACAAGCCGCTTCAAATGATGATGTCGAGGCTCAATTCACCCTCGGATTAATGTACATTGATGGTAGCGTTGAGAGAGATGTTCAAGAAGCCTTAAGATGGTTGAAAAAATCAGCAAATAAAGGTGATATCAAATCCCAATTATTAATCGGACAAATTTATTTCGATGGAACCCGAGTTGATAAAAATATCAATGAAGAACAAGCGTTTAAATGGTTTAGTAAAGCAGCCAATCAAGGTGATTTTCATGCACAATTGATAGTTGGATATTTATTACACGAAGGGAGAGGCGTCACTAAAAATGAAGAGGAAGCTTTTAAATTGTTTGAGAAAGCTGCCGAAAAGAGTGGTATTAATGCTCAATTAAGCATTGGAAGCTTATTATATGAAGGAAAAGGTATCGCTAAAAATGATGAAGAAGCTTTTAAATGGTTTAAGAAAGCAGCTAAACAAAATGTTATTGAGGCCCAATTCATCCTCGGATCAATGTATTTAGATGGTGAAGGAGTTGAAAAAGATGTTCGAAAAGCTTTAACTTGGTTAACAAAATCAGCTGAAAAGGGATATATTAAATCTCAGTTACTTGTGGGACAAATATATTCTGATGAGGTCGTCAAGTACAAGAAAAAGGATCAAAAAGCTTTTAAATGGCTTAGTAAAGCGGCCAAACAAGGGGATGTTACTGCTCAATTAATGGTTGGTCATTTATTATATCAAGGAAAAGGTGTCACTAAAGATTATGAAGAATCATTTAAATGGTTTGAAAAGGCCGCCGAACAAGGTGACGTTAACGCTCAATTAAGTGTTGGACGATTATTATGCGAGGGGAAAGGTGTCACCAAAAACGCTGAAGAAGCTTTTAAATGGATTAGTAAAGCGACCGAACAAGATGATATTGAGGCTCAATTCATTCTCGGATCAATGTATTTATATGGCGAAGGAGTCGAAAAAGATGTTCAAAAGGCTTTAACTTTGTTAACAAAATCAGCAGAAAAGGGATATATCAAATCCCAATTACTTGTTGGACGAATATATTCTGAAGGTGAAATTAACACCAAACAAAAGGATAAAAAAGCATTTAAATGGTTTAGTAAGGCAGCCGAACAAGGAGACGTTAACGCTCAATTAATGATTGGTCATTTATTATATGAAGGGAAAGGTGTTGTTAAAAATGATGAAGAGGCTTTTAAATGGTTTGAAAAAGCGGCTGAACAAGGTGACGTTAACGCTCAATTGTGCGTCGGACGATTATTATATGAAGGAAATGGTGGTATTATGAAAAATGAAAGTAAAGCGTTTAAATGGTTTAAAAAAGCTGCGGAACACGATCACGTTGATGCTCAATTAATCGTTGCAAATTTATTGTATGAAGGAAAAGTGGTTGCTAAAAATCATAAAGAATCCTTTATTTGGTTTGAGAAAGCTGCTAATCAAGACAATGTTGAAGCACAAATTATTGTTAGTAAAATGTATTCAAATGGGGAAGGGATTAAGAAAAGTGATGAAAAAGCGTTTAAATGGATCAAAATGGCTGCCGAAAAAGACAATTTAGATGCACAATTTATTCTTGGACAAATGTATGTTAAAGGCAAGGGAACGAATAGAGATGTCAAAATGGCTCTAGAATTGTTTGAAAGTGCTGCTAAACGAGGTCATCTTGAAGCTGGCATTATTTCTGAGATTTCAAAAAAATAAAAATAAATAAAGTTATGATAAATAACAGTATCATCATCATTTGTAATTAATAAATTTTAAATGTAATATATTTATGTAATACTAAATAAGACGTTTGTGCATTTTGATGTTGGTAAAGATTAATCTTTTTACCACGTAAATGTTTCATATCCTTGGATCTTTTGTAACTTTGTAACATGGCATGGTAAATTGATTAAAAAAATGTAAAATTTCTTACAAGAAACCTAAATGATGTTAATTTGTTATTTGGTTCCTTACAAGACTTTTTGTATCTCAAAAGAGATATCGAAACTTTGAACCAAATGATCCTTACATACAAAGAGGTTATATTTTATAAAAGTCACTTATTCTCGTTTACCGCAAACTTCTGTTTTGGTATAATAGTATTATATGAAGCAAACTAGGAAAAATTCCGCGCTTCTCAAATAGCATATTTGGTGAAAAAGTTATAAGATCTTTAATGTTATTAGGAATTATAATATCGAGATATACTGTATAACGAAATTTAAACTAACGAAATATTACATGAATTACAATAATGTGGCGCAGCAAGTAAATTTGAATGGTTTTTGATTTATTAAAGTTGAGAAAACATTACAATTATTAATTAATCTTAAAATATTAATAAGTAGGTTAATATACATTATTTAATTCGTTATTTATTAAACACTTTGTGTTAAATATTGGTGATACCTCTTCAAATATGAGGAATATGTACTATATCTCATAGTAAAAACATGCTTCCCATTAGCAGCAATCATCAAATCCAGAATAGGAATGAAAAATTTGGTCATCCTTAATCCGTCTCTTTCGTTAACTAGTTCATTCATCAGAATTAACAAATCTTTAAAGTCCTCCAGCATTAACGCGCAAGGGAGCAATTGGATGATTGGTTTTAAACCTTGAACATCTTTCGAAGGAGCATCAGATGCTAGATAGAACATTTTGGAGAATGTCATGGAATCGTTTTGCTTACAATCTGCGCTATTTGATAGATTTGAATCCTCATGAAAATACTCAACGATATCGTTGATTAAATTTTTTATCCTTTTTCTGCTGAGTTTTTGAACTCTCCGTCTCCAATTCTAGCATGAGCGCTCAGATAATTCATTCGTCCTCCTAATTCATCAGAAATTCTCTTCGTGATATCAAGTAACGTTGGGTTTGAGATTATAAATGATTCTCTTATCTCCTTCATGAATTGGATATTTCGTGGTATTACAAGTTTAATCAGTGCGGATCCAAACAAATTATTGAAATAAAGTAATCCTTCATCGCGCTCACGTAGCTCTAATATGGAATGTTTGTTTGAAAATTTATTTGACGATTTAATGTTACCATACATTCTACTGTCATAAAAGGAATTCTTTTGTGCATTCCCATACTTTCTCCAAACTTGTTCTTCATCATTTGACATATTGAATTTTAAGAACAAATTCTCCGAGATTAATTCATCCCTGTGAATTATTTTAACATTCCTTGATATAAAGGTGAAATCAAATAATTTATCCCACCTATAAAATGTATAAGAATCACGTAATTTTTCACTATGAGTTAAGTTCATTTTGCTTTTCATGTTCATGCAATTTTTCTGTTTAACTTTGCTAAGAAAATTCAAATAATTCTCAAGCATATCGAATGCTTGAAAAGGGAAACGCGCACCAAGTATAAGTGGAGGTAATATGAGCGTTCTATTTAATGCCCACGCCATAAATACAGCGTTCTCTAGAGCTATACGTTTGGTTATGCAATCCGCTGTGCGGTAAATACGTTATAAATTTTTCTCATGTGTTCTCAGAAGCTACCTCTTCTTTCACATCGCAAATCTTATTGAAATTGCATAAAGAAGGGTTTAATTTGTTCACGTAGAATATTAATGTAATGAGGAGATATGTTGATAATAGTAAAAGGATAAAAATTTTTCTACTGTATATAGGTTGGGGTGGTGTTCTTACAAATTTCATTTTTATATAATTATGATCGTTAAGAGGATAGTATTGAAAATTGAAGGAATTTTTAAAGAAAGTAATTGTTGAATTGCAATTTTTTTTATTTTAAGTTGATTTTAAAATTTAAATCGTGATTCATCGGCAAATAATGATGGATGTGATTGATTGGTTACCATTTTTTTGTTTTTTGTTTTGTTTTTTTTTTTTTTTTTTCCTTTTATGAATTGCTTCTTTTGATTTATCATGTAGCACTAAACAGTAATTGAATGATTTCTTTGTTTCTCTCCTTTTTTATCCAATTGGTTATTAAAATGGTTAAAGTAAGAAAAAAATAATATCATCAGATAAAATAACCTCGTAAGATCTATTTTATAGAGATGATGAAGCTGATTTTCCTTAGCGTTGTTAAGCCTAAACACTACGTCGTTAGGATAACAAAGCTTATTTGCTAACAGGGAGTTTAAGTTATAAACTATGAAAGAAATAAACACGAATTTATTTAAGTTGAAGGGTCAGGTCGTCTTTATTGATGATTTATGTTTTAA